AAGAGCCAGTCATCGACTACATCAATAGGTGGAGGAACCTAAGTCTGAATTGCAAGGATCGTCTGTCTGAGGCTTCTGCCATTGAGATGTGCATTCAAGGTATGAGTTGGGTTCTTCGTTACATCCTTCAAGGTATTCGGCCGAAAACATTCGAAGAGTTAGCGACTCGAGCCCACGACATAGAGTTAAGTATGGCTGCAAGCGGAGCTAATGGACCACCAATCCAAGAACCCCAAGGTTCCAAGAATAGATACGAGCAAAAGAAAGGAGACAAATTTTCCTCAAAATCTCAAAATAAGGAGTCCATGACGATCAATGTTGTGCCTGTCAAGTTCAAAGGAAAAACTGTTGATAAAGCCGTTGAAAAGAAGGATGTCCTCAAAAAAACTGAACAAAGAAGATTGACTCTAAAAGAAATGCAAGCAAAGCAATACCCGTTCCTTGATTCAGATGTCTCTGGCATATTTGACGATCTGATGGAAGCAAAACTCATTGAGTTACCCGATATGAAGCGTCCCGAAGAAGCTGGTAGGGTGAATGACCCAAAATGCTGCAAATACCATCGTCTTGTAGGGCATCCAATTCATGACTGCTTCATATTCAAGGACAAGGTTATGCAACTGACACACCAAGGAAAAATTTCACTAGAAGAAAGTAGTGCAACTGCTAATCATATAAGCGAAGCTTGAAACATGACGAATGAGCACGAAGCTCCGCTATAAGAAAACAATAGGCCTGAGGTTGAAACTCACCATGTTGATAACGATTCCATGATTGTCTTTAATGACGAAGATTTGTTGCTTGGTTCTAAGCCTCACAACAGACCGTTGTTCGTGGCCGGCTATGTGCAAGAGCAAAAGGTTAACCGAATATTGATTAATGGAGGATCAGCAGTAAACATCTTGCCTCTTCGCACACTAAAAGAGTTGGGAATTACAAGGCTTTAACCAAGGGGTGCAAAGAGCTCTTGGCATCACAAGGTTGAGGTTGCTGATGGAAGATATGGAATCAACTGCTATGTTTCATGTCATCGATGCAAAAACTTCTTACAATATGCTTCTTGGTCGTCCATGGCTTCATGAGAATGGCGTAGTTCCGTCCACATGGCATCAATGCTTCAAATATTGCAAAAATAGCGTTGTGAAGACTGTGCTTGGTGATGATAAACCTTTTACGGAGGCTGAAACTCATTTCGCTGATGCCAAATACTATTTCAATGATGCAAAACCAGTTGAGAAAGCCTCGTCTAAGCAGCATAAAGGGTCTGAAAGTGAAGAATCAAAGATTGAAGAGGTAGAAAACTCATTAAAAGAGTTAGTGTTGCCGCTGCCGAAGGTAGAGGACGAGAAACCTATCTCCCAACCACCCATGAACTTTGTTCGTCCAAGAAAAGGAGCTGTGACGGAGCATGGTGAAGGATTGAAGAACTCTAAGTGTTTTGATCCAAAAGCCTACAAGCTTCTCGTCAAAGCAGGATACAATCCCAATTAAAGTCGCTCTTTGGGAAAGTTCATACCTCAAGAGCAAAAGCACAACCGGGCGGGTCTTGGATATGTGGCACCGAGTCGAATTAGAATCGCCATCAAGAGAGAAAACGCCAACCATGTCTCGGAAGGATGGTTCTCATCTTCTGACGGTGAAAAGAAAGAGAAAAAAGTGTCGGTGTTTCAAACACTTGGTCCGGTGCGAAAGTCAAAAGGCAAAAAATCTGTGTTTCAACGACTGGGATCCTTCAAGCAGTCAAAACCTTTAAGACAAGAAAAAGGTATAGGCCCGACTCCAAAGCGTAGAAGTCTAATTCCGTCATGTATGAAACGTCAAACTTGTTGGTGTTATATACTTAAGCTTTGCTTTAGTGGATATTACACTTGTTATTTCTTGATGAATGAGAATTATGTTTGGTTAAATAAGTTCCACGTTCTGTTGTTTTGCATGTAGATAAGTGAGTCGTCATCGGGCGTACCGAAGATCACTAAGTCAGTTACTTGCGAAACAAGAATCATTGGTTCACAACCTAGATGGAATTGAACAAC